CGCTCACCGCCAGTGTCAGCCCGGGGCCCCATCCGCTCTGCTTTCCAGGGGCGTTATGAAGCCGGCGGCAGAGCCAGAGCAGCGCGGGGTTGTTACGCCGATTCCTCCCGTCAGGGACCGAGAAGCGGGGCTCGGGCCTGTAGCTTGTACTGACCAGCACAGGCGGGAGGCGGTTGGCAGCAACCTGGGTACACCCCGCGGGTCGAAATGCCCCAGCCCAGTGCTAGAGTTATCCGGGTTTCATCTCAGCATCCCCGTGCCTTTCTCTCCGCTGGGCTCTGCACCTGGCTCAGCTGGGCTGGGAGAGGGGTGCACAGGAGAGATATTAATAAGAATAAGAAGAAATCATCATTATAATAGTTATTATTACAACCAGTGTTAATAATAATTAATAAGAATGGGAAGAATCAATACGCAGTGCATAGGCGAGATACCAATATGAATTCAGCTATGGGCTGGACACGGGTCTTGTTTCTGTTACCAATACCCATAAATTAAAAAACGGGAGCAGATGTGCTCCCAGAGCCTTCCGGCTGGGAAGCAAGGTGCCAGCTCACCCAGACTCACCAAGGGGGCACTAAACCCTGGACCAAGAGGTAACCACGCGCTCTCATTAGCTGTGCCCCCGCTCCCCCCGCGGCCAGCCTTGGTTTCCGTCCGCTCCGGGGCAGGGTGCGAAGTAAGGGACAGCCCCCCTGCCAGATTTGAAAATCAGAACCTGGGAGGGTCTCCGATCGGATTGCTCATTCACTTAGGCGGACTTCTTAATCAATGAACCGGCTTCATTTTTTTATTTTTATTTTTACAGACCCCCCAAGAGTCAAAGTGCCACTGGAACCCTGCCCGGGGGGTGTGCATTGCTATACTTGTAAAATGAGCTAGAAGCGGGGCAATGGGGCCACTCTCTGTCCTGACGGGCACCTCTTAGGTAGCAGCGCCCTAGCAAGCGGACCCGCGTCTAAGCTGCCCTTCCTGCCAGGGACCAGGGAAGCTCCCCGAGGTGCGGGCGCGGGGCGCTGGCATGCACAGACCTCCTGCGCTGGTGCCCCGACGAGTCGGGCTGGGGGCTGCTAGGGAGTGAAAACTGCACTGAACTTTCACAGGAAGAAATAGAAATAACTTCCCGCCTAGCGCCGCGGAGACCTTGGACCCCCATCCCCCGGGTTCTGTTTAAAACTCAGTCGTGGGGGAAAGAACAAACTTGCCTAGAAGGGGCTTGGCGCCCTTTTTAGTGTCAGCTGGGCCCAGATCTACCGACGCATTTAAGCACGTGCGCAAATGGAAGCACTCAGTACTTTGCCATAAGCATACAGGCACGTGCCTAAGGGCTCTGCTGAATCGGGGCCTTCGTTTTCTCTGCTGGACTTGCAAAGGGTAAAAAATGCGTGCAGAGAGATCACTTTTCGTTTAAAATATTACAAAGAGAGCCAGCCCTTCGTGATGACACCTTTCAGAGCAGTTAAAGCAGCCGCGGGAACACGCAGCAGTCTTTGCCCTTCGCGTCCAGCTGAATGGATGGAAATGCTGCTTTTGTGTAGCCCCCGCGGTGACTCTGGCTGGACGAGCACATTTGCTTTCCATCCGGGAGGCATGGGAGCACAGAGAAAGAAACATTGTTCGGTGTGGAGAGCCCTGTGCACACTTTAAAAATCCGATCCTTGAGTTCCCAGCCCCCGCAATCCAGTTAATGAGGAAAGGCGCTGCGGTCTTGGTGGCACCGTTTGCATTGGGATTGGCACCGTTTGATTGACAAAGTCTCCCATTCTTCCACATCTCGAGTGTTATCAAACGGATTGTGTGGGGTCAGAAGCTATTGAAGAAACGTCCCTGTAGCCGCCGGGGAGTGAATAAAGCATTCTGCAAACACGGGGTGAAGACTGTGGCATTCTCATGAAAATGCTTCCAACAGGCAAAATGCATTTCGTCCTTCCTTCCCCCTCCTTAGCATTTCCTTTCCACTCGAGCCGTGCATTAAGCAGCACCGCCAGGTGAAGGACCACGCCGCGACCAGGCGCCAGGCACAGCGCGGGGGGCGGCCGGACCTGGGCGACTGGGGACACGGCTCCCGAGAAAGGAAGTGGGAAAGGACGTGCGGAAAGGGGGGGAAATAAATACACTTTTCTGCCAGTCCTAAGGGAGGCTGAGCTCTCCCGCGTCAGTTGTCTGGGGAAAGGGGTAGCAGCGCCTTTCCCTCGGCCGGGAACTTCCCTGGCTGAAAGTCGTGCGCAGAGTCGCCGAGTCGGGACCGCTCAGCCCCGCGCGCGGACACACGAGCGACTTGTACCGAGTCGCAGCCTCCGCGGACGTACCACATCCCTCACAGCAACTTGCCCGTGCAAGGTCCGACCCCAAGCCGAGGGCTTCATCTAACTGGGGGACATTTGGCGGGCATTTAACCTGCCTCCTTTCCTTTGACTTGGGGCATAACTAAGATTGGCTAAGCACTGGAGACTTACAAGGAGTCCTTTCCACATAGCACCAGGACACACGTGCACCAAATCTGGCCCGACACTGGGGCTGTGTTCGCAGATGCGAAGCCCGAGATCTAGTAACATTGCTCGGGAAGGCACAGGCTCCATCGAGTGCGAGTCCCTGGCAAAAACAAAATAGAGAGGACTTCTACATGTGTCACTCGCACTAGTATTCAGAACAGAACCCCCCCCCCCCCCCACACACACACACACACACACCACCCATAACATTTTGCAGCAATTAATTATAATGGAGTCTTTCTTGGCAGTAGGTATAAGATGATGCCGACTCATTTAAAATACATATTTTGCCGGTTGGTACTACAGCATTAATATTTTGTCACGCCGTGTTCTGTCCTGTTCCTTTTCTCATATTATTAAAAAAAGGCTAAAAATTCACATGAGACTCTTTATTTGAAAAATCCGAGGGGGAGACCCCCCAAAAACTTAAAAAAAACACAAACCAAAACAACCCGTTGAATATTTTAATTGCATAGTCCCATCAGCCAGAGAGCTTCGAAATACATGTGTAAAAATAATGACTACAAATTAGCGCAACTGCACGGTGGGCTAAAGCCAATAAAAGAAATGTCCTAGGTAATTAGGAAGACAAGACGTAAAGACCTGGAAAAGAGAAGAGGCGGCATCCGAAGCAGTCGTATTTCTAACTGCAAGGTGTCCTTGCCAGCTGTATGTGCTGTGAGTGACACAGCAGACTCACAACAAACCCACTTTTAGGCATTAAGACTTTAGCTAACCTGGTGCCCAAGGAGGCAGCTGAGCTGATGCAGAAGAACTGAGGGCCTGATTGAAGAAAAGTTCCCCCGATTATATTTGTGTGGAAAAGCTCACCTCTTGCAGAGCTCTAAAGTGTAATCAAGGCACAGGCTTATACTTGAAGGATGTTAACTCTCATACGGGAACCTACTTTCTCCTAAACGGTTTCTTGCCTACTGAATGAGAGCCTCCCAATTGAAGCAAAATGATCCTTATGTACTAATATCAAGCACAGTCACAAAGCGACTGGCCATTTACGCTGCCACTTTAGACAAAGATATTTAGTTATTCCCGGGTAGCAAGTGCACTTTTGCATTTTTAAGCACGAACAAGCAGAGCACAAACATATTTACAAGTGCAATTACTAAATAGTGATTTGATGCTTTAAAGTCACCGGGTTAACTGCAACTTTGCTGCAATTTTCTTAATATTCAGACAATCACTTTATTAAATTAGTTCCTAACACTTAAGGCCAGAGTGTTAACAGTCAGAGAAGGCTTTCTTTTTTTGCCTTCATTGAATTTTTTTTTTCAGTTACAGTAAAAGTTGAAAATCCTTCCAAGGCTCGATAAAAATAATAATTTGAATCACATTAACTGTTCGAGACACATGTATGCACAGAGATGAACGTGTTTTATATGCATTTCAAGCTAGATTGGGCAAAAAAATTAGAAAATGCAAGGGACGAGTCTTCATTGGCAAAGGCGATGGACCAGATGACCTGATAGGTCTTCATCATCCCAACTTCCTTGGTATATAAATAACCTTAGAAAGCAGCTTTGGATACAGAAGGGCCCTCAGGAGCCCCTAACATTCCTTCTATTATAAAATAACAAATGACTCTTTGCTTTAATCTCTTTTCTCACCCCCTACGCTATTACTTTACATATTTTCAAATTTACACTGCCGGTCTCTCTCCAAGACAAAAATCTGGGCAAAATCTTCCTGTGGCTGCCTGTACACAGCGATGCACGGATTGGGGTGTTGCATTTGGAGACTAACATGCTACAGAGAAGCCTCCCTTGCAGCACTCTTAAAATCTGGTGCTGGTGAGCATTAGCCAGAATTTCTACCTGACAGGCTTAGGATCCCTCTCGAGTGGGTAATGCAGTGTGGAAATCGGTGGCCAAATATAAACCCAATGCCCTCCTGACAGATTTTTTTTCCCCCTCACTTCTCAGTGTTTTCTTAAAATCAAGCTCGGTGGGATCCATTGGTTCCCTGGGGTTAAAGCCCAGCTCCCCATCTCTCCCAGGGGCTGAGGCAATAATGTCAGGGGCTGAGGATGCGATTTGAAATCATTTCACTTGAACTGAGCAAATTTCTCTTTTGAAATTACCTTAAATTCCCCACCCAGAATATTGCCACCCCCAGAAGAATAAAATGACTTGTGCTCGCGGGGTCTTCTTCTTCTTCCTTTTTTTTAAGACCTAAAAAATCCTGACAAGTAAAACTTAAAGGTGTTTACCTTGTCATCAGCATGTAAGCTAATTATCTTGGGCAAGATGTAGGCTTCTATTGTCTTGTTGCTTTAGTGCCTATGCCCCGCCTCTGGTGGCAGCCTAAAACCTGGCGTCTGGCTAAAACAAACGAAAGGCAGCCCTGAGCCTCCACTCAATCCAATTAAGGCGGACTTCGTCCACTCGGTTACGTGTACATCCAACAAGATCGGCGTTAAGGCAACACCAGAATATTTGGCAAAAAAAGATTTGCCTCCCCTTCCTTTTTTTTTTTTTCTCTCCCAGCCGCCGAATCATGTCGATGAGCCCAAAGCATACGACTCCTTTCTCAGTGTCTGACATCTTGAGTCCCTTGGAGGAAAGCTACAAGAAAGTGGGCATGGAGGGGAGTAACTTGGGAGCTCCCTTGGCAGCCTACAGGCAGTCTCAGGTTTCTCAGCCGGCCATGCAGCAGCACCCCATGGGCCACAACGGGGCAGTGACTGCTGCCTACCATATGACAGCGGCGGGGGTCCCCCAGCTCTCCCACACCACGATGGGGGGCTACTGCAACGGCAACCTAGGCAACATGAGCGAGCTTCCACCCTACCAGGAGACCATGCGGAACAGCGCTTCGGCCACGGGATGGTACGGCACCAACCCGGACCCCCGCTTCTCCACCAGTAAGTGCGCCCCGCAGCCAGTGGCGGGAACTTGGCGCTCACCTGCGGGCGGGAGCCCGGTGGGGACGCGCTGGGGGCTGCGGGTTTGAGCGGGAGAAGTGCGGGGGAGGGGGGCGGCGGGGAGCCCCAGGAGGGTCAGCTCCAGGAGCGGGGTGGCCGCGCGGCCGGGGCGAGGCGAGGCGAGGCGAGGGGTCCCCAGCATCCTGGCCCTTTCCCCGGTTCCGCCGGCTTCCCCGCTGCGCTCCCGGGCTGCTTCCCTGCGAAGCAAATCGGCAGCCGGGGCAGAGCGATCTGGCAGTGCAGGAGGGACTGTGTGGGTGGCCGGGTCCTGCCCGCCCCATGCTGCCGCGGCCAAGACCCCCGCGGCCGGGCAGCGCGGGGGGCAGCTAAGGGCTCATCCTTGGCTGC